TTTGTAGGGTCCAGTGGTGGTATGCTACCGGTTCAGACTGGTTCACCTGAACCCGTAGTTTAAAAAAAAAGCCAAGGATCAGCTGAGAGGAGGAAAAAAATCCTCCAACTATCAGCTGAGAGGAAAAAGAAGAGAAAAGTGCAATATTGGCCCTCCCACCTGCCCCTATGCTTTTCTCTCAGCTGATTGGTGCTGCAGGTCTCAGCTGGTATGGGGAAAGCTGCATGCTGTGTTCGGCAAAGCAGGCCCACCAAGCCATGCCCATTGAACCGGTGGTAAAACAATTTGAATCCCACCACTGGTAGGGTCCAGAGGTGGTATTCAGCAGTTCTGACCAGTTCTGGAGAACTGGTAGTGGAAATTTTGAGTAGTTTAAAGCAGTGGCCCCCAACCTTTTTTGTGCCACGGCCCAGTATCGGCATCACAAAATAATCTGTGGCTCGGTACCGGCATCAGCACGCATGACAAGGCAAGGCGAGCCGAGCGACTGGCCAGCCAGCCGTCCCCCGCCACCTTCAACTCCTCCTTTGTACCTTTTTTGTGCTTTTTTGTGCTTTCTTAATCTCCTCCGCCATCGGGACGGCTCTTCATTTGAAGCCGCCCCCCCTCCTTTGATGAAACTAAGGCGCGAGGATTCCTTCAGGACCCAAACACCGCTTTCCAACCGGAAAAGCTCACCCGGAAGCACTTTCTCGTCGAAACAAGATGGCGGCGCCCAGCAAACCGGCAGCCCGGTAGAAAATGATCCACGGACCGGTAGCGGTCTGGGGCCGGTGGCTGGGGACCCCTGGTTTAGAGAACCGGCAAATACCACCTCTGACTGGAGATTTTACAGTATCCTTCCCCTGCCACACCCACCAAGCCACACCCACAGAACCAATAGTAAAGAATTTTGAATCCCACCATTGGTAGGGTCCCATGCAATAAACATCTGTCTTTATATTCCTTGACCCAAGTACAGTTATAAATTTGATTTGCATACCCAATTCAGGACATTAACATCTGGCTGCAAACCAATACAGCATGAAGTGGCGAAAATAAATTGCATCTCTATCTGAAATAGGGCATGCAATAAGAATATAATGTTCAGGAGGTGTAAATAGACATGAAGGATACTAGGTTTGGCTGGTGCTCTAGGAAGAGCAAGGAAAAGTTAAAGCAGTTCATGTTTTTACTGTTTATATAAAGAATTCTATGTTTTGTTTAGTACATATCAAGAAGGACTTAATTAATTTAATTAGGGATCCTGATCATCCCAAAGGTACTTTTTCAGCAGGCAACTGGGCTTTTTTGGCTTTTTTTCTTTTGAAGATGTTTTGTTTCTCATCCAAGAAGCTTCCTCAGCTCTGACAGGATAGTGGAGAATGGAAGGATTTATATTCCATATAAACGTAATCCTTCCATTCCCCACTTTCCTGTCAGGGCTGAAGAAGCTTCTTGGATGAGAAATAGATAAAACTATGGAGTCCTTGGTGCTCTCTGAGCTTGGTTGTCTGAGCTTGGTTGCTTTCTTGCAGATATTTCACTACCCAGCAAGGTAATACCATCAGTACTAGAAAGAAGCATAGTTTGCTCTTTTTATATATTAGTATTTTTCCTATCAGTATTGGTGGGAATATTCTTATGAGTAGGTATTTATTTACTGTAAATTTGTTTGTCTGAGCTGGCAGTTCCTCGATTGTGGTATTATTTACTACTTGATTGTTGGTCTAATGTTAATCTTGGTGTTAATCTCTGTTCAATTAAGGAACTACTAAATCAGACAAACAACAGTAAGCAACAACCTAATCAAGAAACCACCAAGAACACTCCTACCAACAAGCCACTTGCATATAAAGAGAGCAAATCCCATTCCCTTCTAGCACTGATGTTATTATCTAGTTTGGTAATAAAACATCTGCAAGAAAACCACCAAGCTCAGAGAGCTTCAAGGGCCCCACAGTTCAACCTTAAGATACAAATATTCTCTCTTCCATTGATAGCTAAAACTAAATTAAAGAGGCCGTTACTAAACATTTGACCAACTGAATTAGAACCACTTTTGCCAAAAGAAAAGGGTCATTCCACTCACCTGCACTAGACTTTAAACCTGACAGCAAAATGGATATTAGCTGACATTTTATGATTACCATAGCACAAAAGAACGAAGGAAGTAGTACCTTCATAAGCATTGCAGCAGCTTTGCCTGCCAAATTTGGCCACAGTTCTTTTAGATAAATAACTTCTCGGTGACGTGCTGTGCTGAAATTACATAAACAGCAGAAATTACTAAGACCTAGGCCCCCGGGATTTGTGGGTTTCAAGATTTTCTGCAATCAATATTCTGACATCTGCAAACATTTATCCCTAAGAGTTGATGCCAAAAAGCTGCAAAAAATGAAAGAAATGCCATCACTTCACTTGATACACAAATTATTTTGCCGCTATGTGCCATTATTTATTCTGTAGCTGAATTTATATAGAAAGGAAGATGGTGCAGATTGATTCTAAATTTAACAGAAAGTGTTATGAAGAGCGTTACAGGTGATAGCATGTATTAACACATATACATAAGAGCTCTCTGGCAATCCAGCCTATGAATTTATTAATATATTGCATACAATTATTTGCTAGAATTATTTTCTTGTCTTTCCTCTAAGAACTCAAGGCAGCTTACATAGAAATGCTTCATTTTACCACACCACTGAGGGTAAGTGACTCAATGAATTTCTGTGACTAAGAATGACTATGAAGCTATGAACCTAGCCCTGATTCATCGTTGTTGCATCAGATAGTGAAGTTTATAGTTTTAGGATTATGACTATTTTCATGAAGATTCACTGAAAGATCTAACTAGGGCAAGATGACAAATGAAGATACTGACAGACTATGCCAAAGATTCTCAGTCTATGGGTCTTGTTCAAAATGTACTAGTAATATAGTTATTGGTCTCAGCAAGTAGGATTACCTGAATAACTTTGGGCAGAAACTAGGCATTATTTGGCCTTCATAGCGGAGAGATTTCAGGACTGTAGGTTAGACTGGACAATCAAAATAATCTGGTAGAAGGCAATGGCAAACTATTTCCATATTGCTACTAAGAAAGTGTCATAAATATGTCCATAAAATAATGAAGAGCTGAGCTCAACTTGAAGGAAGCTTTACTTGAATTAATTTATCTATTCCTGCTTGAAAATGGAACTGTTGATCACTGTAATCCTTTTGGGCTAGCTTCGGAAATTGTTCCTGCTTTCTTCCTTCCTCCAGGGCCAGTTCCAGTCCGCTGACGGGAGGGATAGCGGGAAGCAAATCTAGCCCATGGCCTCTACTTTGTGGGATGACTGAGAGATCTTTTTTCCTTTTCTATTTAATTTTTACATGAAGTTGTTGGGCGAGGTGATCCATCCGTTTGGGATCTCTCTATCCCAGGACCTTTGAATGATGCTGTGGATGTCCTATCCTAGTATCTGGGGGATGTTGGGGGGTTGGATGGGATGAAACGGGCTCTGACTTAACCCAAGCAAGACGGAACAGCTATGAGTATTTAGACTCTCCAGAGACAGACAACGTTCTTCCATCTTTGGTTCTGGATACCGTGTTTCTCATATAATAAGGCCGGGTCTTATTTTTTTTTGAGCCCCGAAAAAATGGCTAGGCTGTCTTTTCGGGGGGTGACTTAATTCCCCACCCTTGCATCTTTGGGTGGGTGGGTGGCGACGGCTTGGATGTTGACCTCGGCGTTGGTGGGGCACTTCATACTGGGGTCAACGCAGGCAGCACCATATCCGGGTGTGCAGTACTTCCTAACGGCAAGCCCCCCCACCATTCCCCCCCCCATTTCACATGTTTTAATATAGGCCTTAATTTGGGGGGAGGGGCTTAATTTCATTTCATGCTTATAAAACATGCTGGGACTTCCTATTGGGGGAGGCCGTATTGTTGGAGAAACAGGGTAGTTGCACTACCCTAGACAGACCCAGTGTGCAATCGGGGCATCCTGGATTTACAGCTTCTGCTTGAGTAGCGGATGGCAGCTGTGGCTAGAAGGGCCCTTACACACCTTAAGATGCTGCACTAGCTGTGCCCTTATCTGGACCGGGAAGCCCTGCTCTGGGCTGCTATGTATATTAATTTTGGAAGTTGCTATTATTTGTATTGTTTTAAAATGTTCTTAGTATTTTGACTGTAATATATTTTCTGAATTGTAAGCCGCCCAGAGTAATTGACTGAGATGGGCAGCTATAGAAATTGAATGAATACCCATAATTAGATTTACATCCCATCTGAGATTGCATATATAGTCTTGCCTTTTCTAATTGTATTACCCCCAGCAATCCTATAAAGTAAGTTAAATTGAGACCTATTGGATAAGTTTGAGTTAAGACCATACACTTTCACTCTTGATTCTGGAATTGAACCTTAGTTTCCTGATCCTAAAGTCACATCTAAATGGACTGTTATTAATCTTTTATTTTTCAATTTAGGGAACAATTTTTTTTTCATTCTATACCAAAAAGTGAACACAAATCTAAGAAAACTAACTTTCTAGCTTTATTCAAACAGATATTGGAAAAGCAGTCCTTTAAAAAAAAAAAATAAGCAGATGCATGCCTCTTCATTTCACAGTGCAGTAAAATTTGACTCTAGTTTTGCCATGGTTACTTGACTACAGAATGCTTTTAATGCAAGGCTACTTTTCTCCATGGGCATTAGGGATGTATTCTTACTTAGCAGAGCCTAGACTTATGTATAGAAAACACATTTTTATATTAGGGGCAAGATAACTGAACATTCATTCCAATCTTATGTGTTTTTTTAAAAAACTTAGAAGGGATACCGTTTCATTCTAAAGTATGCCTACCTTGCAAGCTTATTATTGTCTTGGAAAATTGGTTTCAAGAATTAAGGCAGCCCTTTGACTGGGATATGTTTGTAATTTGTACAGATTACTTTTATTACAAACATACTATTTTTTGTCTGCAGACATAATTTTCCAAATAAGCATTTGTTATATTTTAGATAATGGCTTTTATTTTTATAAAAAAAATATGATTTTATTTTGGACATTCCCATAAATTCATCACAAAATTATAACACAGCGATACATACCGATCAACAAGCTAATGCTGTATATGTACATTGTTTTTACAAGAAAAAGATATTGTAGTCTATACAATGAAAAGATAACAGTTCCAAAGGCATATGAAATAGAAAGTAAATGATATTATATGCTTTTAAGAGGAAAAAGTTCCAGGTCCTCAGAATCAGTGTTTTCAATACTCCTCATAAAATATAAATTCTTGAGCAATGCCTTAAGTTCACTTTTACCAATATACATCATCTACTATATTAAGATTAAATTGTCAGAATTCCCCACCAGCAATGCTGTCAGAGGAGCTACATGTACATGTATCTTACAATGAATGTTGCTTTTCCCCTGCTAAAAACAAACCAGGTAAGCATTTGTCAACAAGTAGCAGAAGTAACAAATCATAATGATCAATCCCCCCAGATCTGTGAAACTAAAATATATAAATAATTAACTCATTGCCTACCAGAATAATTCATTTATTGTATCTGCCCCCAGCCAAATTTAAACCAACTATTAGGAAGCTGCATGATATAATAGGATTGCTAAAACCCAAGGACAGAGCAAAAAGGAAGCCTTCTCAGATTTCAATCCCGTTATACAGATTTTATGTTGCCCTTTCTGAGTACATCACAAAGTGGTGAAACAATCGAATGCACTTTGAAATTTTTTAAAAACCTGTCCGAAAAACAGAAGTATATTTACTACTTTAACTAGATCTAGATCAACACTGCTCTGGAAATAACATTTCTCAGATTTTTGGTTTCATTTTAAAGAGCAACCAACTCTAATAATACTTTAACACACACACACACACAATAGAGTGTCAAAGGTCTTTTTATTGCTTCACGTTTCTGAAAAAGGAATGCTGCAAAGCATCCTTTGCAGTAATTCTTGTAGCAGGGTTTAAGTCCAATAGTTTATCAAGGAGATCATAGGCGCTGTTAGGAACTCTGTCCCATCCTTTGGGATCAGATGGCTTTTGTATAGTTTTCTTTTCTTTACCACCATCTTCGTGAGTGCTTTGTTTTTGATACTGCATGTGTTTTTTGGATGCCTGAAGGGCAGAATCTGACACGTTGCCTATTCCAACTGATAAAGAAAATTCCTGAGAAGGGTTCATCTGTACATCACCTGCTGAGTTGTCAAAGCTGGTAGTTTTCCCCCTCAGCCTTTCACAGAGTTTCTTTAAATCCTGTGCTGGGATTTCTTTGCTGCACAGGATTGATTTACCTAAATGAAAAGCACTTGTTAGAAGATTCTTCAGAACGCACAGCCATTTTCTGCAACACTTGTCTAACATTGCAATTAAAGAGTTAAAGTAGCAGCTGCTGGTCCCTTAGTGGAACCAAGTTTTTAAAAGTGAAACATTGATTTCACTCTTCCAAATTTTACATATATGGACTTTGACGTACAGGCAATTCATTTTCCATACTGCTATTTTGCAGGGAAATACAGAACAGCGAAGCAAAGCATTGCTAAGACAATTCTTATTGAATCCATTGGCAATATTAGATACACAGCTATGGGTATATAGTCAATAGTGCAAATGCATTGCCCCAGGCTGAGACAATATCTCTAGACATCTTCACACAGAGAGGGGAAGGAAGAAAGAGGAAAAGAAGGAAGGAACACATCGCACATGATCATACATATTTCTGGAAAAAATAAGTATGCTGTCAAATTCTGGGTTGATTGTCCTGCATATGTTGGTCCCACTGTGCATGACTATGAAGATATAGCAGCCAAGAGTTGACTTAGCCAGGCCTCAACTTTGCAATTCATGGCTGCACTTACCTCATCAACTGGAAATCATCGAAGCTGTGTTGCTAGAAATGGATGTGTTGTCTTTCACAGCCTAAACAAAGCAGCCTGTTTTTATTCTATTATTCTTGACTTACAAGTCAAACCTGCAAGTTTTGTTCTCAATATGGAATTCCCCAATCAAATGTTTCAAGCTTAAAATATCTTTGAGCTATTTTGCACTACTCTATGAAGAGGCAGAAGACCACATCTACTGAGTAACTCTTAATATTGGGGAGGCAGAAGACACTACAAGGTGACACAATACCCAAGACATATAAACAAAGACTTAACTGCCACTATCAACAGTGAGCTTGTACTTTTTGTTGTTGCTTTGATGGATATGGGAGAAATCTAGAAACCTTCTAATTTGGTGAAAAACTGTTATCCTCACATATCTGAAGCGTATTCAAACTGAGTACCTGTGGCTCTTTGGAGTGTAGCAAAAGCAGCACTGAGACGGTGGCTTTTGTTTTACCTGTTTAATTTTTACCACAGTGCCGAATGTTAACCGAATTGCTGATTCTGCCATAGGATTTTGTTGAAGAGATTTAGAAACATTTCCCCATCATGATCTTTTATTGTGATAAGCTTGATGCTTAGTACAAAATACTTTGCACAAATCTCTGGATGATTATCCGATAACAACTAAACACTGTAGGTAAAATGGAAAATGAGGAACGTCATCCAGGTGAAGCAATCCGGGGAATTGAAGTTCTTCTGTTGCCAGTCTTTCTGTGGAGGATACAAGTAGTCCTCCACTTACAACAATTCATTTAGTGACTGTTCAAAGTTACAACAGCACTGAAAAAAAGTGACCATTTTCACACTTATGCAGCATCGCCATGGTCACGTGATCAAAATTCAGAGACTTGTCGAGTGACTCATATTAATGACTTTGTGGCTTCTGCGATCATCTTTTGCCACCTTCTGACAAGCAAAGTCAATGGGGAAACCAGATTCACTTAGCAACCATGTTACTAATTTAACAACAGCTGTGATCCACTTAACAACTGTGGTGAGAAAGGTTGTAAAATGGGGCAAAATTCGCATAACAAATGTTTCACTTAGCAACAGAAATTTGGGGCTCAATTGTGGTCGTTAAGTCGAGGTCTACCTGTACTACTATTGAGAAATACAGCAAAAAGAGGTCTGATTTACAATTCTGGGAAAGGAGAAATTGAATAAAAGAGGAATACAGATCTAAGGAGGAATGATTCAGAGCCAGTAACATTAATTAGAATTAATTAGCCACATATTTGCTTGCAGCTTTTTCATTTCACAAACTGGATGCTGCTGATTTGATTTGTATGTTTTGTTTCCTATGGGATTATTTAGAAGCCTGATATGATTTAAGGAATTTGGTCCTGACATTTAGATGAATGAATTCCAAGGCTATTTTATCTGAAGTTGTGTAGAAATCCATGAACATAATCCTAATTATCTACATATAGATAAATAATAATGAAGTTAGTTTTACAAACAGGTTAGAAAAACAATGACAAAACCTGCATACCAAATGTTCTAGCAGCTTGAATGGTTTCTCTGGAGCCACGAATAGTCATGATCTGTGCCAAAGCTGTTAAATCATCACTAGCCCTGTAAAATGGATACCGACCACTCAACAGGGAGAGAAATATAATTCCTGCAGACCACATGTCAATTGCTGCAAATAGAAACAAGACTTTAGTAACAATGACTATTCTGATTCATTCCCAGGGTTAAAAAAAAAATCTAAGGCATATTATAGAAAGCAGTATTTATATGGTTCAATGTAAGACTGCTGTCTTCCCAGGATTTCTTTTGGCTTTTCATATTTTATCTTTCCCAAATGAACTTCAGGATGAACCAAGCAAGGACAAAGGATCTGCAATAATATCTTATAAATACTTGATGCAATTTATGAAAAGAAAAGGGTAAAACAAGCCCTCATGGAAAGATCAATGAAGGAATTAGTTCAAAATTAAGTCAAAGCAAAATGTTTCTGATAAGCCTGAATTTGCATCACCTTTTTCCCCCAAAAGGGAACCTGGGCTCCTCACTATCTGTCTCATTGCAACATATCCTAAAAGTATTGATCGTAAAAGACATCAATAGACATTACTGATTCAGCAGCAGCAAGTTTTTTAAAATAAGAAAACATATTATAGAATTCAGATACTCTGACTGAAACAACATCAATTTAGATGAGGTTTTCTGAGAGACAGGTGGAGATAATATTAATATTCCCAAAATGCATAAGTTCCTCATCTAACAGCTAGTTTCTATCTGTTTAAAATATTAAATAGTTTTGTCAGTTGGAAACTTTAAAAAAATCTGTCTGCAAGAATACTATGTTAATTATGCTTGCTCTAAGCCAGCATGCTAATGAATCTTACATATTCAGAAGAAGGGCTTTTAAAACATTAGCACAAAACTAAAATCACTTGAATTTTCTACTTTTTTCCCCCTTCGTTTAAAATAGAAACATTGCAGTAAATATTTCGGATAGTTTCTATCTAAAGTTCTTCTTTTAGCTAATAAGTTTTAATAAAAGAACATTTTAACAGTTTTAATGGATTAAGAAGCTTGTGTAATTTACTGTACCTGTGGTTTGATTAGGGCACTTTGTTAATACTTCTGGTGCTCTGAATCCAGGAGTACCTGCCCTCGGGGCAACCTGCTGACGTCTTGGGGTTAAATAGAAAAAAACATTAGAAAGTAATAGCATATGATTAGAACAGGGGTTGGCAACCTTTTGCACCTCAGGGACCACCAAACTCATAATTTTAAATCCCAGGGAGCACTAACCAGTTCTGTTTGCGTGGCCTAATTTGTGGGTGTGGCTTGGTGGTCATGTGACTGGCTGGGCATGGCTTGTATGTAATTATAAATACAGTATTAATATAGATTTTTTTTTTATAAAAAAGAGCAACTTTTACCCAAAATCAGGCAAAGCAGGCAGGCAGATTGAGTTGCTCACAGAATCACAGATTCATTCAGAGATCTATCTGCAATTGGCTAGCTCAGTCTGTCAATTTGCTAGCAAGCAAACTCACAAAATTAACTCACAACACACCATGTATGTAAGTATTGAATTTTTTATTAAAAAAGAGCAACTTTTACCCCAAATCAGGCAAAGCAGGCAGGCAGATTGAGTTGCTCACAGAATCATTCAGTGGTCTATCTATCTGCCATCGGCTAGCTCAGTCTGTCATGTGAATTTTGCTTGCTGTGAGTCTGCACTGAATAATAGAACCTTCAGTCCTAAGGGAGATTTGGCTGTGCTTAAAAGAGCCGAAGATCTAAAGATTAGCTAGAAAGCAAGAAATCCAACCATTTCCTGCTTTCTAGCTAATCTAAATCTCCTGGCACAGCAGAACAGCTGATGGTCAGAAAAATAGCAATTTAGCAGGCAAATTTGCCGGATAAGGAGTGAGTGGGTGGGGAGGGTTCTCACGGGCCATGTGGGCGGCGCAGCCTTGTGTTTCTGCGCAGCCTGGATTAATTGCTTTGGGGGGGTGCTCTGGGGTGAGATTTCTCTGTGGCCCACCTAAAAATTTTCACAGCCCACCAATGGGCCGTGGCCCACTGGTTGGTGACCCCTGGATTGGAACATTCCATACCCAAAGTACTTTCTAGATCAGGCCTGCTCTACACATTGAGGGCAAAAAACCATATGGATACATTAAAAATCCTCATGGGCCACAAAGAAATTATTGGAATGATGATAATGTAGTTTGAGGAACAGTAGAAATGCTGGAGGTATTTGATAGCATGTCCTTTGTGATTGCTGTAAGTTTACTATTTTTTTAATTAAAAAGGTCTGCCGGCCACACAAGGTTACCTGTACATTGTGCTGGCCTGATCTAGGATGTACTTTTATATGGTGATACTAGACTTCTAGCAAGATAATAGGAGAGATTTCCAGCGATTGCAACTCCAGAATTCTCTGCCAGCACATCAAAGCCCAACTTGGAAGCCTAAAAATTGAAGCTATCACATCCAGAGGCACCATGTTAAGGAAGGTTGTTCTACATCTTGCTTTCTGGCTGCAACATTTTTAAAATTAACCCAAATGTTTACTTCTCCTTTATTAGGAATACATACATAGATAGAGATGCAACTTATATTTCTTTAGATAGTACTCATGAGTAGAATTGCAAAAGGATTTCTTTTGTAGTTATATCATTATGATTCTAAAGAACCTATCCATTTAAGCTTAACCTATAGATTTTGGACATTATTTTTTCTACTGCTCTGGGCTTACGATTGCTGTTTTGATACTTGTTCAAACTATCTAACTGATACTAACCAAATCAGTTTACATAAGGAGTATAAAAATAAATGTACTTTTCTATACTTATGCATTCTGTATCTGACATCCTCCCAAGTTGACACTGCTATAATGCAGAAATGGAACTGGAAAGGGCTCAAGTCTTTGTTGGTGTTGAGAATTCTTGTATGAAAAGTGTTACGCCATTATAACATTATGTGGGTGAACTAAGAGTTTGATTTGTTTTCTCCTACTGTTGTATTTCAAGGTTCTAAATGTAGCACGTGCTTAGTAAATCCACTAATGTATCCATAGTTATAATGCTGCCTGGCAACAGAGTGAATATTTTTTCCTGCATCAAAAATGGATTACCTTGAAAGACAAACGGTGCAGACGCTATCTTTTGCGTAACAGTCACAGATCAAGTGAGGTGGGGTACCACTGGCAGCTTTCTTGCCTAAACCATTATTTACAACAGAAGTTGCCTTCTTCTTCACTGACAGTTTCCTGACTGGAATATCCATTATCCTGGGTTGCTTTATGAGCAGTAAAATAAAAGTTGCATTTTAATGCAAGGCATACTCAAAACACAGTACTGATTTATTTCATGAGACTGAAAATGGTTTGCCGCACGAATGCACAACTATTAAAAAAAAAGAGTTAAATATAAAAACACTCAAGAAAACATATCAAATTACATGGATAAAAATATTACAAATAAAATGCCATTCCTATTCCCTAATTGCTTAGCAGAACTCAACAGGTCCAGGCTTCAAGTTTTCTAATAGCAATAGCACTTAGACTTACATACCGCTTCACAGTGCTTAGCAGCCTTCTTTAAGTGGTTAACAAAGTCAGCATATTGCCCCCAACAATCTGGGTCCTCATTTTACCGACCTCAGAAGGATGGAAGGCTGAGTCAATAGGTAGTCCTTGGTTGGTAATTGGGACCAGAATTAAGCTATGCAGTGGTAAAGCATGACATCACATGACTGCATCATTGAGTGACAACAACCACAGCAGTCCTTGTTGTATTAACTGTATCCTAGCTGGCCCATTAGGTGAGGATTGACCCTGGTCCCTGCCAGCCCTTCTCTTGAACTCCATCCACCCATGTTCCTCCCCACCCCACCCAATCTCTTCTCTTCTGGCCACCTAGTGGCAATGGCACTAGGACTAAAGTACTGCCTGGATCTTTGCCAATCAAGACCAGCCACTATAACCTCCCCAGCCTGTAACTCAGCTCCAGCACCATTAGCACTGCTACCACGACAAAGTACTGCCACAAACCTCATGCTTCAACCAGTTCCCCAGTGCAAACTCTCCACCACCCCAACCACTTAGTTGGTGTGGCACAGGGCCAACAGAGGTGGAGAAGTACAGGCTGGCCAAAAGGGCAGAGATGGGAGGGAAGATAAGACAGGTGGGAGAAGTTTTAAAGCGCCCCTGTACTCGCAAGTACAGGTGGGCTGCCTAATGCCCAAATATTGATCATGTGACTGGGGGGGGGGTGGACTGCAACGGATGTAATTTTGGGGACTAGACATAACTACATTTCTTCAACACCGCTGTAACTTTGGTCATTGAATGAATAAATGAAAGGTGGTTTCCCAAAGACAAACTGTTCCTCTGAATATGAACTAGATTTATCTGTGATTAAGAATACTTACTTTAACTGTGGAACGGGCTTGAAATGCTGAGCTTCGTACGTTGAAATTTTTCTCCCCAAAAACCGAACGCTGAACACAATGACAGTCTGGATCCTCCTGTGAAGTCAAGAAAGGACAATGAGGATTCTACCTCTAATTCTTAGCAGTGCATCCTTTAATTAATCAGCAGATACTAAAACCATTGTAGTTTATCAATTATCCTGTTTTTACTCAGGAGCTCATAATGCTTCATCCTTCCATTTTTCAAAAACCTCCCTGTGAAAGAGTGGAAAATTAGCATGGCTTTAAAACAGGAAGAACCATGAATAACATGTGCTTTATTGATGGCATCCTCCTCAAAGTCAAAACATATAAAGGATCTGCAGGATCTAGTAATAAAAATCAAGGAGCACGGTAGAGAAATGGGACTAAAATTAACTACAATGACCAAACTAATAACAACAGGCAGAACAAACCTTACAATTAACAATGAAGGTACTGAACAATGGATAGCTTTTGCCTTTTTGGATCCGCCATTAACAGTAAAAGAAGCTTCATGCAACACGCAACAGTTAGCATTTGGCAGAGCAATCACCAAGGTTTTGGAAACATTACTCAAATACCATGGTGCACCTGAACCTACAAAAATCAGAATTGTACAAGCTACGGCAACAGTCCCCAACATTTCTGGCTTTGTGGACCTGCAGGGGGGAGGGGATGGTTTTGCGCAAGTGGTGGGTGAGCAAACGCGCAGCTCTATTTGCAGAAGCAATGGGCATAAACGCCCGTCCATCACCTGCACCAATAGAATTGCGTGCACGCTCACCTGCTGGTCATGCAAGTGGAGCTGCACATGCTTACCTGCCACTTTCGTGGCCCGGTTGGGGATCCCTGAACTCCATGCAACACTCTATGGAAGTGAAAGTTAGGCTTTGAAGAAACAAGAGCAAATTCGTGTTGATGCTTCCGAGCATTAGCACTTCTGAAAAACCATGGAGAGCCAAGAAAAGAAACAAATGTATAACTGAACAAATCATCCCAAAGAGGCACAAACGAGCAGGCTCATCTTACTTTGGAGACATTATGTGAGCATCTGCTTCTCTGAAGCAAACTCTCATGCTGGGAAAATCAGAGAAGCTGCCAGCAATAATGTAAATAGAGTCAGTTACAGTGATGATGGAAAAACAGAAGGACCAGCTAAAGTCAGATCATCATGAAAAGTATCTGTGACCTGATGACATATAACCAACCAATCAATCTATCTATCTGCGAGGTGAGTGGGCTGAGAAATTGAATGTGGGTCAAAGTTACTCAGTAAGCTGCTGCTGGGATTGTGGTGGATCAGAACCTGGGTCTCCCCAGTATCAGTATAACAGCCTAACCACTTCACCATAAGTGAGATGGGAACTTGGTTTCCAAGTCCATATTTGGTTGGTCACATGTTGCCACCTGCTGAGACAAACCCCATATTCATTCAGTGTAAAGCATGGAGCAGTTACACTTTAAAATGAAGAGGTATATAATGAAACACATTTTTTTTATTCTGTAGTAACCAATCTGGAACCCATTAATACACAACCTTCTCATAAAATATTATATAAGAATAATTATTTCAGAATGACGAAATCCAATTTTGATTATGATATCTGATACTGATGTTCCTTCAATATTTCACACAAATACAAAAACTCTGAAATAGAATGAAATATTATTCTGGTGTTATATCTCCCCCTGTTGGATAAAGTTACTTATTAAATAAATCCATCCAGCAAAATTATGGGGGGAAAAAAAGAAAGAAAAGAAACTCGAACCTTTCTTTTGTGTCCATGTTTAATCTGTGTTTGTGAAATGGAAGAAAGCCTTTTATTAGCTGTTTTTGTAGCTGGTTGATGAACGAGCTGCCTTGATGTTGGGGAAGTAACTTGGCTTCCCACAGTTAGTGGCGGTTTATTGTATGCAGAAATCCTTTGCTGAGTTTCGGATGGAATAACCTTGAGCAGTTCCACTTTTGTCTCAGGAGTTCCTTGTGCCAAGCCAAAGTCAACCAAGGCATATCTAAAGACAATTAAAAATATGGTTAATGATAATACTGACTTTTCCTATTAACAGAATCTAACCACTTCTTCCTTGTTTAATACTATTCAGATATTGAAATACCATTTATATTATATCACATTTAATAACAGAATGAGAATCACAAATTGAAAAACTGTATGCATAAATGTGGCAAAATTAATTTGGAAATTTATCATTTTACCAAACTGGCAGGCTATGAGTTCAATATATCTCCTTTCATCTACCATAAATACTTGATTTTTCTTGACCTTGTTAAGACATTTGTGATCCAATTATTTTTTACTAAATACATTATTAACTTACTAGATTTAATACACTTACTGCTGCAGTTGCCTGTTGTACAGGAAATTACTGGGCTTGACATCACGATGAACGATACCAAAGTGATGAATGCGCTTCAAAGCTTTCAAGAGGTTAAACATGTAGTTTCTTACTTCTTCAAATGAGAGAGAATCCAAGATGTCCTGTACAAAGGTTGTAATAAGTAAGTGTGCATTCACTCACAATCAAACTCTCTTAATTCTTTTAATAAAAAGTATTTAGGACTCACCGAAAATGATTCATGTTCCAGATAAGGCATAACGATTACCACGTGATCATTTTTTCTAAAACAATATTTAACTCCCATGACATTATCTTGTCCTCTACCAAAAGGGAAAAAAGTTCTCTCACAAAGAGAGAACATAGCATTGTTAGCATGTTTCCACAGATCTTTTCTGAACAAATACTTCAGTATTCTTCAAGGAAAATCATTTCACACTAACAGCTTTCCGTTGATGACATACAGAAGACAAGTTTATGAAAATGGCTGGTGTCATTTTTCAAAAACTACTTTTGTAATCCTAAAGGTGTTTGCAATCATGAAGTGAGATACAAATTTAAGATACACAACAAAGATGATTTAGAATGTTCAGATCTATGCTTGTATATGTTGAAAATGTTTTCAAAGGGCTAGATATAACACCCTAAAATATATCTTGCAAAAAAATTGTGCACATTAAGAAAACAGTGCACATTAAACACCATTTAAATTCTTTTTGCATCTATCTATCTATCTATCTATCTATCTATAGATGTATATATGGAGGGAGGGAGAGGGAGAAGGAGTGGGAGGGAGGGAGGGAGGGAGGGAGGGTGAGAGAGAGAGAGAGAGAGAGAGAGAGAGAAAGATATCCAGATACGTGGAGTACTAGAGTTTAGGCTATATTATTTGACCATTTTATTTCTTTAAATAATTTTAGGGCATATTACAACCTTACCACTATTCAGTATTAGAATATAAATATTGTTTGACTAATTACCACAATTGAGCCTAAAAATTCTGTTGGTAAGCAAGGTAGTTGTTAAGTGAGTTTTGCCCCATTTTATGACCTTTTTGTCATGGTGGTTAAGCACATTGCTGCAGCTGTTAAATGAATAATGCAGCTGTTATGCAAATCTGGCTTTCCCTGCTAACTTTGCTTGTTGGAAGGTTACAAATGGTGACCATATGACCCCAGGAGAGTGCAACTTTAATAAATACATGCAAGTTGCCAAGGATCTAGATTCTGATCATGTGACCATGGGGATGTTGCAACGGTCATAAATGTGAAAACTGATCAGAAGTCACATTTTTCGATGCCATTGTAATTCCCAACAGTCACTAAATGAAATGAAATAATATATATATTATTTCATGGTCCATTTATATATATATATATATATATATATATATATATATATATACACACAGGTAGTCTTTGACTTACAACAGTTCATTTAGCGACCATTCAAAGTTACAATAGCATTGGAAAAAAAATGACTTATGAGCATTTTTCAGTTATGACCGTTGCAGCATCCCCATGATATACATATTGACTCACATTTTATGACGGCTGCCGTGTCCCGGACTCATACGATCCTCCTTTGTGCCCTTCTGACAAGCAAAATCAATGGGGAAGCCAGATTCGCTAAACAACTGTGTTACTAACAACTGCAGTGATTCACTTAACAAATGTAGCAAGGTAGGTCATAAAACAGGGCAAAACCTACTTGACAAATTTCTCACTTAGCCTTATAAATTTTGCGTTTAACTGAGTCTTAAGTTGAGGGCTAGATATCTGTGTGTGTGTGTGTGTAAAAATTATTTTTACTTCTACTATAAAAAGTAGAAGTAAAATATCTATAAAAAGCATGAATCAAAGTAACTTAAATGCAAAGAAGTCCATGGTGAGCCTTGTGGAAATGTAAGACCTCTGTATACTTCCATCTCCGTACATACCCTGCTATTATAAGACACTGAAGCTCCGCAGCAATTCGTACAGGATGACTGGTAGGAATCAAGTATTTCAAAGCCACTTTTTCTTCACGGCCTCCTCGTAACTGGCCTACTGCCAGGTAAACAGAACTAAATGTTCCTACAAAAATAATATAGATGTATTTAGCAAAAAAAAAATAGTAGTTTCCAGTTGGAATTAGTAGTCATTTTTGTTTTTCTATAAATTCTTTCTGTAAACCAACAGATCCCCATCAAAACTTTTTGGGATCTTTGCATAAGTGATTTTAAACTTCGTTTTTTTTTCTTTTTTTTTTTAAAAAAAAGCACTGTACAATTGAAAGAACATGAGCCCTGTCATTGTGATACATAGTTCAGATGAACTTTAAGAAGGAAGAAGGTTATGTTCACTGTACTGGAACTGTACACTTGGATTTTTTAAAAAAGAGCTAGTGATCCTCAAAACATTTTGCCTGTTGTTTTTTGAGATTCTCCAAATGTATGGATTTATATGTCCTCAAAGTATGGGTACAGGCAATAGATTCTATACAATCCAGAGAAGGGCATAGTAGATTTTTATTTTTTAAGACAAAAGATTTAATCACATTGGCTTTCTGTATCAAAAATAAATAAAGAGAATATAAGCCAAACACCACATCCATCAAATCCATCCATGTTACAGGCTCTATTGTCCACTGAGAGGTTTGTGGGGGAAAATCATCTACCTTAGTGGAATTGCCTCCCAAAACAAAGGTAGATGATCTATTGCAGATACTTGTATTACTTTCATAGAACTTATTCCATGAACCACAGCTTGAGAAAAACTGCTACAAAACAACGTTACTTCTGTAGTGATCTTACAGCTTTGTAAAGTTTAAAGTTCTGAATACATTTTCTGCTCTAATTTAGACAAGGTTGATTATTTACTCTAACAATTTCCATTTTTTAAAATCTGCTCTGAGTTAAAGTAAAAAGTGTATTGAAAAAATAAGTAGTTACTTGAAATAATACTTTTTTTCTTCTTTTCTTTTTTCCTTTAATGACATTTTCTCCCTTCTTTGAAACCCTTTCACCTAATTTGAAGCTGTTTCAGCAACACAGCTATCTATGCATGTGATACTATTGTAGAACTACTTCCTTGTTCTTCAAACAGATTTCTAATCCATCAGGAATAAGGAAAAAAAGAGTATCACTAAAGAAAATTCACAAGTCCTAAACAAGCAACTACTGTATTTTTCAGACACACTTTTTCTACCCCCAAGAGGGTGGAAATGTCTGTGCATCTTATACAGCAAATGTTGCCAAAGCCCTGCCCACCCGCCAGCCCCACCCGCCGGCCTCTGCCTCCAAGCAATTTTCCTCCTTGCAGCAAACGGCTTGGTCAGCTTCAGCACAGCCTGATTAACACAAGCAGCTGATAGTCGATTGGCCTCCAGACAATCAGCTGTTTCAGGCTGCAGGGACTGCCATTGCCCATTGCCACCTCAGTGCGCCCCATTTTCAGCCTCCATGCACCCCATTTTCCACCTGTTCTGAACCCCGCCACCTAGAATGGGCCAAAACTGCGGCACGTGGAGGCACCAATAGGCGATGAAGATCCTTGCAGCCTGGAACAGCTGGTTGTTGGGAGGCTGATCCAACTGACAATCAGCTGATTGTGCTAAAGCAGGCTGTGCTGAAGCTGACCAGGCTATTTGCTGTTTGCTGCAAGGAGGCAAATTGCTGAGAGGCAGATTTTGTTGTTGTTGTTTTCCTCCCTAAAAGCTAGGTGCGTCTTATACTCTGAAAAATACAGCATTCACTTGCCATACTCCTGAATAATGTCAAAATAACAGGAAGCATGAAGTTGGGTATCTCCCAACTATGTGTACAGGTAGTCAACATATGACCACAATAGGGATTAGAATATCATTGGAAGCAAGGAGTTTGCTAAGTGATTTGCAACCATTTTTTGCTAACCTTTCTTCCAATGGTTAAACAAATGACTGCAGTTGTTAAGTGAATCACATAGTCATCAAGGAAATCCAGGTTTCCCCATTGACACTGCTTATCAGAAGCCAGCTGGGAAGGTTGCAAATGGTGATCTCATGAGCCTGAGATGCTGCAGCTTTGTAAATACATGCCAGTTGCCAAATGTCTGAATTTCAGTCATGTGACAGTGGGGACAACGGAGGACCAGTTGTAAGGCATTTTTTCCCCAGGGCTGTTGTTACTTCAAACAGTCAGTAAACAAATTGTTCTAAGTCAAGGACTACCTGTATTGTTCCATAGCTCACATAACTATGTACTTTTCTTCTCAGTAAAGAGAAATCTTTGCATAAGGTCAACTTAAAAGCATAAGGGAGCCTGTTTATCAGTAATAAGTTATGATAATTATAAAGCATAGTTATAAACCCATGAGACTGACCTGATTTTTATGATCTCTTTTTGTGACAATCATTAAGTTAATGCCATGGTCGTTAAGCAAACCAGTGGTTCACCATGGGTCAATTTAGATGAAAACCGGAAGTAAATGCTGATTTTCACCAAGTGTCATAAATTGTGGTCATATGATCATAAGATGCTGCAAATGGCTGTAAATGCAGGCTGTCATGCATCCTAAGTGACCAGTCATAAGCCAAGGACTACTTGTATGGAAAACCAACATCTTGAACAACCAGTTTATTTCTTAACTTTTTCTAAGATTTTTGGTAGCAGTGGGGATTACGGGAAATATTTAGTGCTGCAGGTTTCCATCTACAGCCTGAAGAAACATTGCTTACTATTTATGAATGCTACATCTAAAAGCCAAGAGAACTATTGCAATTGCAAGCCAAAGTTTAAAGCTGTTCCCAAAGAGGAAAAAAGAACAGGAGAATCTGAACTATCACCTAGAGAACAAATAAGTTAACTCTCTTTCCTACCTTCTATTCATTGTGGGATGCTATGAGAACCTATCTACCAGGCAAATTTACAATGTGGTAGGGGTGGCTAAGATAGTTACTGGTCAGGCAATGGCCAGTAAATTATCCCTGTATTCCAAAGCATTGATTAGTCTTCTTCCCCCATTGTTTAATTTTTTAAAAAAAATTGGACACATTAATTACAAGGTTTCTAGTCTGTAGTTTGACCCAGCAGGCAAGTAATAATACTAAACTCAGAAATAATTTATATAAAAGGGGCTCTGGAAAATTTAGATAGATGATCTATAGTCCTTTGAACTCTGATTTTCAAAACACTTTAAAGGAAAATCATATTCACCTTCGCCAATTTTCCCTTTGATTCTGAACACATTTGCAAGCTGAGGTACTGCTTGATAAAGCTTTTCAATATCTGTAAGTGCTCCTATGGAGAAATTTTTAAAACAAGTTATTTTAGAAACTGAAATTATTCTCCCTTACTTTTATATAAGGTTTGCAACATAATGATTTAATAGCGAAATTTAAAGCATTAAAGTTGTCCTTTAAGTAGAGCTGGGAAACCTGTGGCCCAAATGCAGCTACTTACCATTTCAAAAATTTTTAAAAATACCCATACATAATAAACAATAATCAAAATTTAAAAATAACAAACTTTTACATAATACACAGTAATAGGCCTGATTACACTAAACATCATCTCCAGTTTACAGTACCAACATGCTAAAAACTGATACTGAATTAAGACTAATGCCCCAAAGATTTTATTGAGAAATTTTATATGGCCATTTTAAACAGATAACCCTGAACAATCAATTTACAAAAAGAGTATTAAAAACATGACCGAAGTTCAAAATAATGCAATTCAAAGAAGAAAAATTGAAGCCAACCGTGTAACAATTTTACAAAATAGAATCATACTGAACTCCACAAATGTCCTGACCTAATGAAAAAGAGAATTGAGCCCCGAAGCCTAAGGGGATCTGGCATTCAACTTTTCCCCCATCACACTAGAACCCAGTGTGGCGCCACACTGGCACAGAAAGATGCCATGATCAATAGTCTTGAGAACCACTCAGAGATGAAGGAGGGCAACACCTTGAGCCCTACAAAGACAAGTGTAACTAATGCCATGGTATGCCTGAAATCTGACTGAAAAGTCCCAAGTAATCAGTAATTATTACTTTGAGATAAAGACACAAAATGGACTACAAACCAAACTTTTACAGGAAGTTTTAGGAATTTAAATTTAATTCAGAAAAATTAAAGTTGTGGCTTTTCATGTTTTTATCACTAGATGGCACAGCAATGATGTTGTATTTATTTTCTGGGTATCTGTAGGAGAACACAACAACTATCAAGCAGGAAGAAGAGGAAGGGAGACTGAATAGCTCAGATGCTATGTTTGGAGTCATAGTTTAAGCATCTCCTGGACTGTTTCATTCACTCTTGCTATTGCTGCCATTACTGTCCTGGCAATTTTGTCCTGCCTGGAGTTTCAAAGTAGTACAGTAACCACTTCAACATACACTTATAATAGGTTACTTACAAGCACCTCTATAATTCCAAGTAGTTTCATGTATTCTGGTTATATTTATAAACAGATTCCATATATGCATTAAGGCAAAGCCGAATAAACATCTCAAGGCTTAAACTGATGTGCAAACTGGCTTGTTTTTAACCCCTGTAGTTTAAATTAGATCTATTATTTATGGAAAGCAAGTTATTAATGTTAATTTAATTAATTATATTAGTCACCCAGTTTATTTAACATAAAGAAATGTTAAATAAACTAGTAAATTTGAAATTATGTATATACCAGAAATATTCAACTTTATTCTTCGACAGGTTGTTTTTGTTTGGCTTTTATTGCAAACCCCAGATCAGTTTTCAACCTCTGTAAGTTTGTATCAATTCCTGTTATGTCTGTGGAGATTCTGAATCATCCAGCTCATGGTTGTCACAAAGGTGCTTTTCAAAAGGAAACTGGACTTGTTTTTTTCCCTTGAAAATGTTTTGCTTCTCATCCAAGAAGCTTCTTCAGTTCTGAACTGAATGGTGGGGAATAGAAATATTTATGTTCTTTGGTTCTCTAAGTTAGCTCTCTGAGAGTTGTTGAGACCACCTGGGGGTTTATCAGTTCTTTCAGGATCACCTGAATCAGGGTGTAAATGGGTATGGAACCTTGTTGGGGCTGCTGAAAGGACTATGTTGCAGACAGGAGATAGGTGGTATTGTATCCTTCTCCCTTTGTGGAGAGAGGGCTGTTCAATTTTAATGCAGATGGGCTCTCTGACCCCCCCCCTTTTAAATCATTGGTCCGCTCTGTCCAGAATGTGGTCCTTGCTGTCCTTCACCTTTGTCTTTCAAATGCAGATAGACTGATGGGTTTCCTATGCTGTGCCATGCATTTGTGAAGTTGTTTCCCCAATGTAGCTCAGCTTGTATCTGGCTGTTCTGTCTTCAGGGTGGGCAAGCTTCTGCCTTAATGTATTCTTGTGTTTAAAGTATGCACATATGTTATGCTAGTTGAAAATCCTCCTGTATTCCTTCACAGGAATCCTTCATAGGAATTCCACCACTCATTGGTATACATATAAGAATGATACTTAGGTCAAGATTAAAACATAGGAAGTTGAAGTTTTCACCAAATACCTCAATTCTGTGGACAGGTATATGTTAAAGATGTTAAAAAAAATAGTCAGCTTTCCTGAACTGAGCAGTAACATTAAGGAAGACAGAAGCATCGACACCGAACTATACAGGAGACCCCCCACCCACAGATGAGTATTACCTTTTGATTCTCTCCACTCACAATGGGAGTGATCAGAACCCTACATCACAAGACTGAAGGTTTGCCTATGAGCAAAGGAGGAAACAGAAAAAGAACTGAAACAGATCAACGAACCCCTCAGAACTTAGGCCTTAAACTCTTAGGCCTCAAATCTAGAAAAAGATCCAGCAGGAGCTCCCCCATAACAAAGAAGAGAACAACAAACGAAGCAATATTGTCATTCCATACTTTACAGGAATACCTGAAAAGCTCAGGGGGATTTTCAACCAATACAACATTGATGAGAATGAAGTCAGAACTGAAGAAGCTTCTTAGATGAAGCAAAATGTTTTCAAGGAAAAAAAAAACAAGAAAGTCCAATTGCCTTTTGAAAAGCACCTTTGGGTCAATTCCTGACACTATGAAAATGTAAGAATCATTTGTGGAGTGTCAAAATACTAATCGAGATTCCAAAATGAGAAGGAAGCATAAATTATCAGGAAAACGATACTGAGAAGATTTTAGACCAGTGCTAAATATACATACCTTTCTTGTTGCTCTCGTGTTTTTTAAATGAATTTTCAGCATTCAAGGGAAGTTGTTCATCTAGATAAATTGCCTCCATGGCCAACTATTTGAAAGGAAACAAATAATAATAATATGGAATGAAGAATTCTCAAAGAAATGACGGAGGCTTCCCAGAAGTTAATAGAATCATATAAATTCCCTTTTTCCTGCTTCCCCCAAATATGTCTGGAAAATGGGTGTGCCTATGTAGGCCATGGGACTTTGTTGTTGACGTTATTTTTATCCCACATTTATTACTTTATAATAACTCAATGCAGTGAACATACAGGTATGTAATACTCCTTCCTCTTATTTTCCCCACACAAAACAATTCATGAGGTAAGTTGGGCTGAGACAGTGACTGGCCCAAAGCCACTCAGTCATTTACTCCAAAGTCAAGACTAAAACTCAAGTCTCCTGGTTTCTACTCTGATGCCTTCACTAGACAAAACTCTTTGTGTAATATAATTTGATCCTGGATACTTGGAAGTCCTAAGGGGCTTAGTGAGGCTGTTCAGCAGTGTGTGGCTTTATTTACAACTGAACTGCACTAAACAGAAGAAAAATAATATATTGGACCATCTTTTAGTACATAATGAGATCAGAATGCTGCATAAAAAATAATTCTGGCAATGCAAAATTCCTGATCTGATTCTGAGAAACAAAATTAGCTTTTTCCGTCTAGACTTAGTGTACTACGCAGGCGATATCTCCCATAATACTCAGCCAGACACATGGTACCTAGAACAAAGACATCTCGATTTTTGGTGTTAAAAAGAGCGAAACATTATACGAAGGGAGAAAGAAACCTTGTTTAAGGTGAGGCTATGTCCCAGCCAGAAAGCCCCAAACCCCAATTTACAGGCCCCGGAGAATAATTTTCCAGCCGCGAGGAAAGGCTGTCTTGAACTCCTTACTGGGCTGTTTCCTTCCTTGTTCTTCTCGCCCTCCAAAACACTCGCGACTCCTGGGCTTAGTGGCTCCAAAGTGGGCTGTCCAACAGTAACGACCCAGCCGATTTCCCCTGCAGGATCCCGCATCTCTCGTGGCCTGTTGTGTTTTTTTCTCTCTTTTGTTACCGTGTACGACTAGCAGCGTCAAAATGCAAGCCGCCCTTTCCGAGAACTTCCGATTCCCCCATTTGTACCTAGCGCCAAGCGGCGCGGTTGGCAGCAAAAAAGGGGAAAAGGAAGCCAGCCCGTAAGGACGAGACCGGGACGGGAGGAGAGGATACACGTGACAAGGGGCAGATGCTGGCTGGCTGAACCGGTGCTGTCACTCAGACGACGTCTTGGGAGAGGCGGGAAATTATTTCACAGGCAGGATGGCGAAAGAGGAGAGGGGAAATAAAAGCCGTGTTCCTTTCCTTCCGCTGGGTTAAGGGCGGGAGAGAGGAGGAAGGTTCTGTTTTTTGTCTCAATATTTTATTAACATCTGACCTGTCCCGGCAATGGCAGAAGAAATATACGGAGGGAAATATGTGTGTGTGTGGAGTTAACAGTGTTTTTTTTTAATGCTAAAGAGTTGAGGCATTTAAAACAACTCTTGAGGTGGGTTGGGTTTAGTGGGCAGTGCGAAGGGAGGTGGGAGGCTTGATGATAATATTCTTAATTAGAATTTCTGAAGACTAAATCATTTACATTCAATTGAAAAGGTCTCAAGTCATTTTTTAAAAAAGGTGGAGATGGGCCTGGAAGTAGCAGTAGCAATAGCCCTTAGACTTATATACCGCTTCACAGAGCTTTACATCCCTCTAAGCTGTGTACAGAGTCAGCATATGGCCCCCAACAAGTAGTGTGTTTATTTCTAGAATGAGTTCACATATAGGTTTGTTAGACATATACACTCTGTTCACCCTGTCCACACATCATGCTTGCCCGTTTCCAATCTTAATATACTACAATCAGGGCGGTATTTTCCAAACCTGGCAGCTTTTAAGATATCTGGACTTCGACTCCCAGAATTCCCCAGCCAGAATGCTGACCAGGGAATTCTGGGACTTGAAGTCCATGCATCTTAAAAGTTGCCAAGGTACGAAAACACTGGTTTTGTACAGAATGCATATGTGCTCCCTTGGCCTGGGATATAAGATGGCAGACTTTACCTTGTTAAAACATAAGTGCAATGTGTGACCCCTTTCCCCATGAATTTTGGGTTAAGTGTTTCCTTGTCTGTGGTTGAAAATGAGGAAAACAATGTTTGGAAATGGGGTACTGATTTCAAAAGTATACATAAAAGTCAGTGTCTTTTCTGTAAAGGCTTTGATTCATTTTTTGAATCTCTTGGAAGTTTCTGGTTGGTTTGCTGCCAGAGGTGGAATATTTGTTAAATTTATATTTAATGAATAAAACAACAGTAGCTAAAACACAGTTGTTTAAAAACAGTGCTATAACTTCACCTAAAGCAGGCTGCAATAAAAGAATGCCTTCCCACAGATAATCACAAATTGCCTGTAGTTACATACCCTTGCATTCAGTTGTTTTATCTTGTACAGCGTGGTCTCTAGTCTCTGATCTGAGAAGAAAAAGTTACAGTGGGGAAGAAGCTTTATCTTGTAGCTATCTTTCTAAATAATTACTGTAGGATAGCCTGGGCTGTGCCCCTCAGTGGCTCAGAGCTTTGTTCTCTCTGAAAACATTTCTCACTAGAAAAAATAAAAAATAATGGATTTTTAAAGTGCAAATTAAACTAGAAGGCAAGGAGCAGCCTCTGGGTCAGAGATCGCCAACATTTGGGGTTGGTTAGACACAGTTGTAATTTTGAGAATGTTTTGTGGTCATTCTATTGTGTTATCTTTCCCATTGACTAAATGATTGCCTTAAGACATAATCATTAGTATCAGTTTGCCAAGTTCCTGAATCTCCCTGTATACGTACATTTGTTAGACGGTTGGCATAGTTCAAAAAAAGTCACTTAGCTTCTCATACTCCTTTAAAAATAAATAGATACGGCAGAAGTCTGTTTTGACAAAAAAAGGATGTCTGCAGATATAGATGCTACACTAAGTATCTTAAATCTATAATCACAAAAGGTCTTCCAGAAAACCCAGGTTTTAAACTAATCTTTGAAAGGCCATAGGCACCATTCTTGCCTCAGGGGGTAGGCCAAACTCTTCAGCTCATTGACTTCTTCATACAGGTTCCTAAAAATTACTATATGAAAATAATAAATTGTACTTGACTAATAATACTACAAGAAAAAAAAAATAATGGATAACCCCACTGATACTTGGTGGTTGATACTGACTATTTTGGGGGATCCTGCTATAAGCGGTCCAAAGGAGCCACCAAGAATTCCTGCCACTCACATACCTCCTTGGTGTCATACCTCCTCACACCTTACTTCCTAATGGGACGGGGTTTTCAGCAGGCACTCCTGTTTATCCAGGTCAGGTAGACAGTAGATTTAGGATCTCTAAGACACCAAGACCAAAAACCATATATCAATTTATAAGTATAATTCTGAATTATACTTGGAAACAACTCAGCAACCACTGTAGTTCACATGGAAGCAATGTTATGTGGCAATACTGTGACTATCCAGTAAGCACACAATCAGCTGCATTTTGCATCAGTTAAAGGTTCTGGGTAGCCTTCAAGGGCAGCCCCATGTTAAATCCAAGTGCAAGGTAACAAGCAACAATCATCAGAGAATCCTATTCTTGCTAAAGCTCAAGATGATGCACTAACTAAAGCTCAGTAAAGGCTTTTGGCGGACTCCCTGATTGCAAATCTAAACTTTTAGAGGGAGAACAATGCCATCAAGAGGCAAGGATAGTATTGCTGTAGAATCAGTTGGCTTTTCAGTCAACATTTACTGTGAGCTGTTCGCATGGCTTCTGAGCTTGTTTCCATGCAAGTCCATCATATTCAGGCAGAAAGGTATACTTGGGTAGTATCCAGGGGTGGGATTCAAATTTCTTAACAACCGGTTCTGTGGGCATGGCCTAATTTGTGGGTGTGGCTTGGTGGTCATGTGACTGGCTAGGCATGGCTTGTATGTAAATATTGTAAGTAAGTATGTATAGATTGAATTTTTTATTTTAAAAAAAGAGCAACTTTTACCCAAAATCAGGCAAAGCTGACAGGCAGTTTGAGTTGCTCACAGAATCACAGATTCACTCAGAGATCTACCTTTCTGCAATCTGCTGCCTGAGTCTGCACTGAAAATTAGAAACTTCAATCCTAAGGAAGGTTCAGCTCTGCTCTCAGGACACTTTTCCCTACCCTAACCCCCTGAATACCACCCTTGACTGGGCCTCAGGGAAGCCTCCTGGGTGGGGTGGGGTTCGAGTGGGGGGGGGAGGGGAGGGGGCAGCCAGTGGTGTGATTTGCCAGTTCTCTGAACTGCGCAGAATCATAACAACCAGTTCTATAGAACTGGCCTGAACTGGTAGAATCCCACCCCAGTAGTATCAGGATACTGATTATACCGTACTCACTGATGGCAGGATACTGGTGAGTTCTGAGCCCTAAGGTACTTTATATTGGAGTGCCTGTATACTCAACATCTCCTCTCCCAGAATTCCTGATTGGAATTATTGGCTCAGAAAAGAGTGGAATAATTCCAGAAAACTGTCTCCCACTTTAAGCTCTCATAGGCAGCTTAGAAGGATCCTGTGGTCAACAGTATCAAAGGATGTTGAGAGTGACAGCAGGACAGAATGGTTATATTCCCGCTACGCATGCGTTGTCAGAAGTCATAAATAAAATGACCAACATGATTTCTTCCTCGTACCACTTTCCTTACACTTTCTCACCAAAGGGAGGTCATGTATTGATCAATAGTAATCCAGTATTGCTGGTCCAAGGGCAGGTCCTTAAGAAATGGGCAAGCCAATGCCTTTTTCAAATCAGGTGGAACATCCCACTCCACAGTGAGACACTGTAAGTATAGGCAATCTGAAGAAGAAACAGCCCTAGGCCATTATCTCTTGACAAAAATTAACCACACAGAACACTGTTAAACTATTGGGCTCCTTGTCCTAAAACATTACATTTACATAATAATAATCAGATTTATTTTACAAATAGTATTACATATTCTAGTCCCATAACAAAAAATGATACAGAAATGTATTTACTGGTACCTTTCATTATATTTACAGGCCAGGTCCATTGTCCCCAACACCTCGGGAGCATGACTATTCCATAACTGACAGAAATATTTTATGTAGTGATTTGATGGACTCAGTTAAAGTAATAGTCAAATGATTACATCACAAAGGACATTGTTTTAACAGCAAAAAAGGTGAAAGATTTATTTTCTCAATACATTTTTTTTAAAAAAATGAGATGAAAATACAGGCAAAATTGTACTTTTTTTACAGCACAATTAAGTTATACATAGAATAATATTAAGAAACAAATGGCTGTTAACTAAACACTCAGTTTAAAAAACATTTGCAATGTTAATCTGAGATAATTTCATTGATTTTTAGAGGAACTAGAGGTTTGCTTTGGGAAGATTTCACATTTAATAAGCAGTTGACAATAGTGATATTGAAACAAGAATAAACTTCATTACAATAGTCAATAAAATTTAGGTAGTACTAATGAGACATCTTTGAGAAAAAATATTTTGGATCTTATATTAGAATGTCCTCCATGGAATTATTATATTAAAAATAAAAAATAATTAAAAATGGCTTCCATGTTTATCCTTGGAATATAAGTATCATAATATTTTAATATGCTCTGAAAAATGTTTGTATTTTGCAAGTATTTCATTTTAAAATTATTAAGATTATAGAATAATTTTCCATATTCTTTAAAAATTGGCTGGTTTCAATGTGTAATTATCTAGGCTATGCTTCAGTACTGAGGAAAATTTACATATTATGTCACATATTCCTAGTATTGGTATAAGTACTAGTAATACTATATATATATCAAGGAACTATCCCGTTCTAGATATTATTATAGGTTTCCATTTGCCTCACAGTTTGTTCTGAGGTAATAGTAGAGAGCCAAGTGGAGTCAAGTATGAGATATGCTTATATCAGTTGGCTTTGAAATGTGCAAAAAATATGGAAGTATGGGAAGTTTTTTAATGTTATAAAGAATTTGCTTATATATAAGAAAAATAAGAGTAAAATTTTCAGAGCTCATAAAATTTCCAGACAACCATATACCAACTGAAAACTGAATGTGCCTTTAAAAAAATGAGTTTTAAAAAATTCTGTAATCAATGGAACGTGCACCCT